ACTACCACAACTACCACACTACTACTACTACAACTACCACAACTACTACTACTACAACTACCACAACTACTACTACTACTACAACTACCACAACAACTACTACTACTACCACAGCGACTACTATCAATACTACAACTACTACAACTACTACAACTACCACAACTACCACAACTACTACTACAACTACCACAACTACTACTACTACTACTACACTACTACTACAACTACTACAACTACTACTACTACTACTACTACTACTACTACTACTACTACAACTACAACTACTACAACTACCACACTACTACAACTACTACAACTACTACAACTACCACAACTACAACTACTACTACTACAACAACTACCACAACTACCACTACTACAACTACTACAACTACAACTACACTACTACTACTACTACAACTACCACAACTACCACTACTACAACTACAACTACCACAACTACTACTACTAATACAACAACTACCACAACTACTACTACTACTACTACTACTACTACCACTACTACTACACTACACTAACTACTACTACACTACTACCACAACTACATACTACACTACAACTACTACTACTACTACAACTACTACTACTACTACAACTACCACAACTACTACTACTACAACTACCACTACAACTACTACAACTACCACAACTACAACTACTGTCACAACTATCACTACTTCAACTACCACTACTAAACTATCACAACCGTCCCTACTACAACTGTCACAACTACAATTACCACACCTACTTCAATTACCACAACTACTTCAATTACCACAATTACTACAACTACCACACCTACTTCAATTACCACAACTACCACACCTACTTCAATTACCACAACTACCACACCTACTTCAACCACCACTAGTACCACAACTACCACAACCACATCTACCAACAACTACTACAACTACCACCACTACTACAACTACTACTACTACAACTACTACAACTACTACAATACTACAACTACTATACTGTCACTACTACAACTACCATGACAATCAATACCACAACTACTACTACTACTACTACTACAACTACTAATCAATACTACAACTACCACTTGTACCACAACTACCACAACTACCACAACTACTACTACTACTACCAGTACTACAACAACTACTACCACTTTGTGTCATTAAATACCGTTGTTGGAATCTCTTCGATCGTGCCCTTGAGCAATACACTCCAGGTCGTCCGTGTGAAACGTCTGAACGGTTAAACTCTTCTTAAATCCTTCACACATCAGCAGGGACGCACCGATCCGGCAGTTTCGCGTCCGATACCGACTCCGATACTCCGCCGATACCCGAGAAGAACCGATACCGGAGCAGAGACCGAGAAACTGGAGTAAAATCAAGCTGAACCGCTCCAAACGTGGGCCGGAGCTGCTGTTTACCTCCAGCCGCAGCCGACGTCACCGCAGAAAAGCTCTGAGTAAATAAAAGTTCAAACGTTCTGACACTCGTGAGCTTCGGGAAACGTCTTATTACGTCAGAGTCGGAGCAGGATATCGACAGGAACGACACACGGAAACTGAAACCCGACCTGGATTATTTTACATGAGATGAAAAAACTGGAAAAACAAAAGGACACGGTACAAAAAAAAAAAAAAAAAAAAAAACTGTACAAGGACATAAAACCAGGACTAAACCAGGACTAGAACAAGACCAAACCAGGACCAAACCAGGACTAAACCAGGACTAGAACAAGACCAAACCAGGACCAAACCAGGACTAAACCAGGACTAGAACAAGACCAAACCAGGACTAAACCAGGACTAGACAAACCAGGACTAGAACAAGACCAAACCAGGACTAAAACAAGGACTAAACAAAGACTAAACCAGGACTAAACCAGGACTAAACCAGGACTAAAACAGGACTAAAACAGGACTAAAACAAGAACTAAAAACAGGACTGAACCAGGACTGAACCAGGACTGAACCAGGACTAAACCAAGGACTAAAACAAGGACTAAAACAAGTCTAAAACAGGTCTAAACCAGGACTAGAACAAGACCAAACCAGGACTGAACCAGGACTAAAAACAAGGTCTAAATTAGGACAAAACCAGGACTAAACCAGGACCAAACAAGGACTAAACAAGGACTAAAACAAGGACTAAACCAAGGACTAAACCAGGACTAAACCAGGACCAAACAAGGACTAAAACAAGGACTAAAACTAGGTATAAACCAGGTCTAAACAAAGACTAAACCAGGACTAAACCAAGACTAAACCAGGACTAAAACTAGCACTAAAACTAGGACTAAACCAGGTCTAAACCAGGTCTAAACAAAGACTAAACCAGGACTAAACCAAGACTAAAACAGGACTAAACCAGGTCTAAACAAAGACTTAAACCAGGACTAAATCAGGATGAAAGAAAGACTAAAACCAGAACTAAAACAAGACTAAAACAGAAATTAAGACCAGGACTGAACCAGGACTGAACCAGGACTAGGATATCGACTGCACCGATATTTGTAAACTGAAATCTGATCTGGATAAATTCTCAGTACATTTCAGTTCGATATCTGGGCCTCTTCGATAAATCGCTGAAGTAAAAAGGTTTAGGAAAATTTAAAAAATTATTTAAGACCAGGACAAAAACCCAGGAGCAAATTTAATCCGCAAAAACTTTTCTAAATCTACAAAATTCTTCAAAAAACTGCAATAAATGAACTGCAG